ACTGACGGTTGCATTTCGCTAGTTCAACAGTAAAATTGTGAGACCTAATTGCCAATCTAGCAGCACGCTTAAATTCATGCAGTCGAGACATTAAAGAGTAAAGTTCATCAGAACAATTACCATGAAAATATTTGTAGAAAAGATAGAGGGAAGCCATGTCACGTCGCTGAGAAAGCAATTAAAGTCGAGATGCCAGGTCAGGATCTGTTACATTACAGACGTTTCATTGAATTTTGTCAAGGAGAAACAGGCCAGATGTAGTAGCCATATTCAATGCACGTACAAAAGATAGATTTATAAATGTGCAAGATGGATTCTGACAATAAGAATTGCCTAGCGCGATACAATGAGACAACATTCTTAGCAGCAGATCTAGAAATTGATTCAATATAATCAATCCATTTCATTTCAGTTACAAAAAGAGGGGAGCAAGAAGATTCAAAGAGTTGCTTTCTTGAAGTTTAGCATCAGTCATTACTGACTGAAGGCAGAAAAGGTTGTCTGTGGTGATTAAATGAAAGTAGATTTGTTTTGAAGGCGTTAAACTCTAATTTTATTTCATTCTTTCTTTCTTTAATTCTTTCTACAATATCTCTATTCTTCCATTCTTTTTATCATTCTTTCTTTTTACAATATCGTTCTTTCTTTCAACGATGTCTCTTCTTTCTTTTGACTTTATATTTTTCTTTCTTTCTTTTTTCTTTCTTTCTTTCTACAATATCTTTCTTTCTTTCTACAATGGCACTTCTTTCCTTTTACTTTATCTTCTTTCTTTCTTTCTTTTTTCTTTCTTTCTTTCTTTTTTTTCTTTTTAAAAACAATAGAAATATTTTTTTCCTTCATTCTACAAAGTCTTTTCCTTTCTTTCTTTAATTCTTTCTACAATATCTCTATTCTTTCTTTCTTTTTATCTTTCTTTCTTTTTACAATATTGTTCTTTCTTTCAACGATGTCTCTTCTTTTTTTTATTTTTCTTTCTTTCTTGCATTCTCTCTTTCTTTCTAAAATATCTCTTGTTTTGTTTCATTCTTTCTTTCTTTAATTCTTTCTACAATGTCTCTATTCTTTCTTTCTTTTTTTCATCTTTCTTTCTTTCTACAATATCTCATTCCTTTTTCCTTCTTTCTACAAAATCTTTTCCTTTCTTTCTTTCTTTCTTTCTTTCTTTCTTTCTTTCTACAATATCTTTGTTTCTTTCTACGATGTCTCTTCTTTCTTTTTACTTTTCTTCTTTCTTTCTTTCTTTCTTTCTTTCTTTCTTTCTTTTGTAATATTCTTTCTTTTTTCCCGCTTTCTTTCTTCATTAATATTCTTTCTTTCTTTCTTTCTTTCTTTCTTTTATAACAATCTTCTTTCTTTCTTTTGTAATATTCTTTCTTTTTTCCCGCTTTCTTTCTTCATTAATATTCTTTCTTTCTTCTCTCATCTCCCTCTTTCTTTCTTTCTTTCTTTCTTTCTTTCTTTCTTTCTTTCTTTCTACAATATCCTGTTGCTTTTTTGCTTCTTTCTACAGTCTTATCCTTTCTTTCTTTCGACAATATCTTTCTTTCTTTCCACAATATCTCCTTTTTTTTCTTTCTTTATTTCTTTCTTTCTTTCGACAATATCTTTCTTTCTGTCTGTCTTTCTTTCTTTCTTTCTTTCTTTCTTTCTTTCTTTCTTTCTTTCTTTCTTGTACAGTCCTGCGATCTTTTTTATTCTCTGTCCATAAAAGTTATTTATCACTCGAAATATCTGTCAAAAATCACGTTTTCCCTCTTTGACTTTTTCTGATGAACCTTAATGGAACCGGCCTCCCCTACCTATCCATCTTTCATGGTAGATGTCAGCCAGTGCATCGCGAACACTGTGACTAAAATGTCCTGGAGCCCCATCATGAATGAACTACATGCATCTTCGTATTAGCAGGGGTACATCTTCTAGCAGGTTTGTTCGAAATAAAGTCCTTGCAAATATCTCCTGTAAGACGTGCTGAGAGAACATTTGAACCTACCAGACAGTCACCTACAATTCCATCCGACACATTAATCGTAAACTGATGCCGGTGTCTAGCCTGTATTATACCGTGGGGGATTCCGATCCACCCACAAATGTTGAGTGTGTAAATTTGTTAATCGATCTCTTCCAAATGTTGCCTCATCCGTAAACAAGACTGAAGAGACAAACAATGGATCGGCAGTTTGTGCAAGAAACCATCGACAAAAGTTCTTCCGTGGTGAGTGATTAGAGAAATGGTACGGATACAGAAGCTTCTCTTGAAGTACCCTATATGCAGTGCTATGATATGTATAACCTGCTAGGCCAAATTGACGTGTGCTAAGACCTGAACTGTCTCCAACAGCTTGTAAAATGTGTTCTTCGTGGTCAGGTTTTCCTCGATCAATAGTTTGTGGTGCCACGGATCCTGTCACAGCAACTCGACGATTAACAGCAGCAAAGGTTGAATGACTCGGCTGACTTCGGTCAGGAAACGCAATTTGATGCAGCCGTGCAGCCTCGCGTCCATGACTATTCACGCGGCCATAGGTAAAAATCATATCTACCTGTTCACGATGTGAATATCCTGCCATTGTTAAACGGAACGATTCTCAGTGAACTCACTACTACACACGTTAAACGCTGAAGACAGACTAGCTACGAATGTACACGAATTACAAATGTAACCTAGTCTACATAGCAACGCAGTGCCATCAACCGTAAACCTTCTTTAAATATAATAACTCAAAAACGATGGATTTGCAGATATATGTGTATATGGACTTTTGTTCTTGTTTAGTGTGGGGAACCTGACCCCAAAGTTTGTAAAAGTATTTTTGATACACCCTGTATGTATCCTACACTGGATGTTGGAATAAACAGTTCATCATCAAATGTACCCTTTATTATTATCATTATGATTTTCTTTGATTTCTTGTGCGTACCTAGTTTTCCGAGTCCCGACCAGAGACCTAAGGTCAGAAATGGCATCATAGCATTTTCCACTGACCAATTATAAAAACATATATTTTACATAGATAAAGCCCTTCGTAAGATGTGGGCTGTACGTGTCAGAAAATTTTTTTTATATCCTTGAGGCATGGACTTCCAGGAATCCCTTCAATTAGTCTACTGGAATCTTTCCCGAACAATCTTAGGGCTCCAACTACAACAGGGATTGTTGATGTTCCCATATGCCACATTTTCGAGATTTCTATTTCAAGGTCCTTGTATTTTGATAGCTTTTTGAATATCTTCAAAGATACATTGCAGTCTGCAGGGACTGCCATATCAATAAGGAGGCACTTTTTTTGTTTGTGGTCTTTAATAACAATATCTGGGCGGTTGGCTTTGATTGTTCTGTCATTGTGTATTGTGTAGTCCCATAGAATTGTAACAGGTCCTATCTCCGTAACCGGGTCTGGGTGGTGTTCATACCAGTTTTTTTTCAGTTTCCTTCCCGTAGAAGTTGCAGATTTTCCAGTGCAGATATTGGCCCACTCTGTCATGCCGGGTTTTATATTCAGTGGGAACCAATATCGTGCAACCTGATACAAGATGATCAATCGTTTCTGGATATTTATCATATAATCTGCATTTTGGGCTAACACAATATTTTAGTATATGTGCTTGACAATTCCTAGTTAACAAACATTGGTCCTGTACAGCAAGGATAAAACCTTCAGTTTCAGCTTTCAACCGTGCACTACGTAGCCACTGATGGGTACGGGTTTGTCTACATCAGCTTGTTTGGTACGGGTAGAGTATTGGCCAAGAAGCGGTTTATCTTGCCATTGTTTCTGTATCTGGTCAGTTGCATTCGTCTCTGCTAACTTTTTTTTTTATGTATTTTGCAGTTTCAGTCGGTGTATTGTGCTCCATTTTGAACTTGTTGGCTTCCTTTATTACGGAATAAAGGCGCTTTCTTCTTTCATATTCTTTAACACAGATCATCATCCAGTCTTCTGTAGTTTCCAGGCATCTTTGAAGGCCAATTGTTATAGCTTTGTGAGACAGTTCTAGTTTCTGGATTATTATTATTTTTTATTTTTTGATTTTGGCGTTTACATTTCTTTCCGGGTCCCGCCTAGGGACCTAAGGTTATAAAATGGCATCATGACACTTTAAAAAAAAAAATACATAGATAAAACCCTTCGTAAAGTTTGGGCTGTAGTTTTTGTCAGAACAATTTTTTGTATCTCTTGAGGCATGGTTTATTCCAGGAAATCCTTCAATTAGTCTACTGCAATCTTTTTCCAACCAGTCCTAGGGCTCCAACTTACAACAGGGATTGTTGATGTTCCCATATGCCATATTTTCGAGATTTTGTTGTTGTTATTATTATTATTATTATTATTATTTAAAGGATAATAGTAGACACCAATCAATGAATAAGAAAACTATAAAATTATCTTTAACAAATTGAGAACATAGTTTATATAATTATCAATATAAAATTCCTAAAGATTCTGTCTACAGTTTTACTGTGTCGACCATGTCGTTCCTTAATAAAAGAATTGTTTAGAATTTGAAAATCGATGTTTATCTAATTTACGATTTTTTAAAAATAAATAAAAATGATTGACAGTTTTCGATCTGAAATTTTCCTGAGTCAACTGTGAATGCGAGAAAAATCTTTTCTGTTTCAGATTACAAGAGTTTTGTTCTTAAATAAAACATTTTCTCTCGGCTGTAACTAAATCTCATGCAAAATCAAATTGAAGGCGGGTTCAGCCAATCCTCCAATTTCCCACACAAACGAGATTTCACACCTGACCGGTCTTTCTGCGTGGAAATGTAAACACATTCCTATGAAGGGTTTGTTAAAAATTTTAATAAACCTTTTGCATAATATTGAGGCGTTTTGTTTTTATGTGCATTTAATAATTTTTTACCATTCAGGTGTAATGAGGAAGATGTTTGAATGCAAAATTAAACCCCTTTGGGGGGGTCTAAACCACGCAAGATCCAAGGATCGTCGTCTGATGAAGTTTTTGAATATCACGCAAAAAAAAAAAAACGTTTTATGAAAGTGAATATTTATTTATGTATCGGGGCAATTCCAGGAACTCCCTGGGGTTTCTACATAAATATGCAATATATTTGCACAGAACATAGATAGATAGATAGATAGATAGATAGATAGAACAGAACAGACATATATATATTATATATATATATATATATATATATATATATATATATATAGAGAGAGAGAAAGAGAGAGAGAGAGAGAGATAGATAAGAAAAACAAACAGAACACACACACACACACACATATATAGATAGATAGATAGATATGAAATGGACTTATATAGATAGATAGATAGATAGATAGATAGATAGATAGATAGATATGAAATTTTAGATAAATAGATAGATAGATAGATAGATAGATAGATAGATAGAACAACAGAAGATAGATAGATAGATAGATAGATAGATAGATAGATAGATAGATAGATACTTGAACAGACTGACACACACAACACACATATAGATAGATAGATAGATGAAGATAGATAGATAGATAGATGATAGATATGAAATGGACTTAATAGATAGATATGAAATTGTTTAGATAGATAGATAGATAGATAGATAGATAATAGATTTATAGATAGATAAAAAAGATATGAGATAGATAGATAGATTGATAGATAGATAGATAGATAGATAGATAGATAGATAGATACGAAAATAATATGAAATGGATGTATTTGATATGCTAGATAGATAGATATGAAATGGACTTTGATAGATAGATACGAACAGACTGAGACAGACAGACAGATAGATAGATAGATAGATAGATAGATAGATAGATAGATAGATTTCATACGAGACAAACTGAGTGTGAGTTTGTCTTGATGCTTTTCCACGAAAGTGGATATTGCGTACGAGCATTTACAAATGTAATAATGTAAAACCGAGTATGGTGATAATCATGCCAAATGGACAAACCCTTTCCCCGCCATCTCATTGTTCAAAATGAGATTTTTTTCTAACCTCTCCTACTACCCACGTTGTGAGTCAGAAAACTCTTTTTTTTAAGATGAGTTCAAGAACTCTCCAGAATATTTCGCCTGTCTTCTTAATGTATGTTGGTAACTTTGATCACTTTCATGATTTTTTCTCTCACCTGTAGTATGTCGCATTCATTTTTGTTTAAAATTTTCTCTTAATATTTGCCTTTCCACGAGGGTGGCTAATTAATCCCTGTTGCAGACACCTGCACAGTTAATTTATTCAAATCCGACGCCATACAGGGCCATTGATGTTTTACGTTGCAACTATGTTTCATACTGCAACTATCTTTTAAGGATATATATTTATTGATTGAATAAATTAAAAATTTTATGCATTGCATATTTTATTCATAATCCTAAGAATATTCACGAATATTTTCGTACATTAAAAATAAAATATTTAATTGCAATATTTGGGGGAAATATAGTGGGAATATGAAAGGATTATGATGAAAATAAGACATAATGTTTATAATTTATTCAATTTAAATATATAATATATATATATATATATATATATATATATATATATATATATATATATATATATTATGCATGTTTCATTAAATAATATAGACAAGTTTTGTCTATTTATTTTAAGTAAGTTTTTTTTCATATTGTCTGATAAGCTTAATAACATTATCATTGAAAGACGAAAGGAAATCACAATATTGATACATGTTTAAATCCAATCTAAGCTTTCGGCTTACATAAGCCATTATCAAAGATGATAATTACATTTTCAATAAATCAATTAAAATACAGACGAAAAAACAATAATGATAGTCTGTTTTTGTTGCATGAAAAATTTCAAAGCAACGACAAAAACATATATATACGAGACGCGGAAGTGAAAAAATCGCGTCGCAGCTCGTGACGTCACACATGACCACGCGAGAGTGAAAACGAGAAGTATTAAGTATGGGAAGTTGTTGGTATAAACCAATGGCTTCAGTTATAAATTATAGGCATTTAAGGATATTTGTGGAGATTTCATAGTTTATTTTGTTCAGGTTAGGTTTCAACTGTTTTATGTATATAGCTTCAAGATTTTTTTAGTTTTTGTTTATTTTTTTCATGTTTAATATATATAGTTGTTTTCAACAAGGATTTTATGAATTGAGTATAAAACGGGCAGGCATGTTGTTTTAAATGTCTAAAAAATGTTAAATAATATATATATATATAAAATATATATATAGATATAAAATATATATGTGTTCTTATATAATGATATTTTTTTATTTTTTTTTTACAAATATTTTAGTTTCAATCCAAAAATTTACATGAACATTTATTTATAAATTAAAAATTATTTTATATTTATATATATATATATATATATATATATATATATAAAAATATATATATATATATATATATATATATATATATATATATATATATATATATATATATATATATTTAATGATTTGAAATCTACTTAATAAACGAAATATTAATGAATTAATTAAATAGGAAAAGAATTAAATTTAAAAAACATAAATAATTTGGATAAATGAAATATATTGGATTAAATAAATATAATGCATTTCCCATATTTTAGGTTAAATATTGATTTCAATTTTTAACCATATATATAAAAAATATAAATTATTTAACGAAAAAATTCGGAAACAATTTTAAATTTTTTATTAATGAATTTTTTAATTTAAATTTTTTTTTTTTTTTTTTTTTTTTTAAAAGCCAATAAAATCCATGCTAAAATAAATTATTTTCTGATTTATTTTAAGATTTTTTTTTAATTATTTTAAGGATTTGACTGTGAATCTGTTTTAATTTTATTGGTATATATATATATATATATAATTTATTAATATATAAATCTTAGCTCTGTTTAAGACCCAATTTGAAAATTTTGTTTTGTTTATTATTAAATTAAATTTCGTAAAAATATTTATTGAAATGAATCAATGCTTATAAAAAACATAACATTTTATATGGTTTCTAATATTTTAGTTATTTGATTTTAAATATATATATATATATATATATATATATATATATATATATATATATATAAATTTAATTTTGAAAATATAATATCAACATTAAGAATAGTTGACAGGCTGTTAATGTTAGACGAAAATCAATTCAGGCCTGAACGATTGAAAAAAATCTTTTAAAAAAACAGCCTTAAAAATCTTTGTTCCAGAATATAAATGAAAATTTTATATTTAAACATTAAATATTCTGATATAGAATTTATTTTCCATTATTTTTTTAAATATAGCAAAAAAAAGAATATATTAAAGAATATATATTTTTTTATATATATATATATATATATATATATATATATATATATATATATATATATATATATATATATATATATATATATATATTAAATTTAATTATATTATGGAAATGAGTTTTTGAAAAAAATGATCATCAGGCAAATTGTCTGATATCAAAAAAATAAAAAAAAGTGTTATTTAAATGAAAAATCCATATAAAAAAAATATATATCTATATATATATATATATATATATATAAAAATATATATAAATAAATTTTCATATGAGGATTACTGACCAAAACTAGGGTGGCTAATAAATAAAATATTGCAATAACGCCTGCTCAGGCCCATTTTTGACAGATTTGATTGCAACTCTTTGAAATAAAGCGGATACTTATGTCAAATTTAGTTTGAAAAAAATTTCATTATCTAATTTATCAACATTCTGAATAAGTTTAGAAATTTCACGTTCAAATTTGAATCAATTTTTAAATCAAAATTTTTTTTTCACCATAACCATTGATAAAAAAACACACACATTATAGTAAATAATTCAATCAGGTGAATTTATATCGGTCGAATAAAAAAAAAAATCAAAAATGACAATATAAACTAAAACTTTAAAAAAAAAACGCGTTTCGTCATTCGAAAGATTAAAAAAAAGGCAAATAGAAATTAAAATTTTAAAATATATAAAATTATATTTTTAAATTTTATTCATATATATATATATATATATATATTTAATAAATAAAATAAAAATATACTAATAAATTTATTGGAGAAAAATTTTTTAACCAATTTTTATTAAAAAGTAAATAAAAAAAAAACAAAAAAAAAAAAAAAAAATTTTTGTAGTGAAATTTTTTTTTAATACAAAAATATATATATATATATATATATATATATATATATATATATATATATATATATATAGATATAAGAGAAAAACGGTTTTGAAAAAATTGTTAATTATTATATACATAAAAATTTTTTTTTTTGATAAAATTTACAACTAATGAATAAACATATTTTCATATAATTAAATAAAATAATGTTTAATAAATAAATATGCAAAAAAAAAAGAAAAAAATGATTAAATTGAAAGATTTATCCATTTTAAAGTTGAAAAAAATATTTTAGAAATACAAATAAAAAAAAAATGAATAAATAATTTTAACATTTAATCCATTTTCTAAAAATATCTCTATTCTCTCTCTATTAATATATATATATATATATATATATATATTATATATATATATATAAATATATATTTTTATAGAAAAATGTCTCGTATCAAATGAGTTTGTCTATGTTTATTTTTTTTTTTTTTTTAAAAAAACAATCTATCATTATTGTTCCGTCCGTGTATTTGTTTGATATATTGAAATGTAATTGTCATCTTTGATAAACTACTTAAATGGATTATCGAAATATTAGATTGGATTTAAACATGTATCAATATGGTGATTTCCTTAAATGGAACATTTCAATAAATCTTTAATGAATTAAGCTTATTAGACAATAATTAAACAGATTAAAATTTTTTGTCTAATTCCAAATTTAATGAAACATGCATTATATATATATATATATATATATATATATATATATATATATATATATATATATATATATATAAAAATTTATATAAAATGGGTATACATAAAATGGTTAGGTAAATTTTAAAAAGTTCCTTAGTATTTTAGTTATTTTAGGGAAAAAAATAGTGCTCGAAAAACTTTTTAAACATAAATATAATAATTTATTTAAAATATGACCACAAAAAAATTTTTTTTGAAGATGGATTGGACATTTTTTAATTTCAAAAAAATTTAATTTAAAGGATTATATATGAGTTTTCGGCTTTTTTGTTTTGAAACATGAGACCTCTTTATGTAGCGATTTGGAATCATATTTTAAAATAATTTTATATATATATATATATATATATATATATATATATGCCGATCTTATCTTTAAACAAAATTATCCAAATCATGTAACTGCATCGGATAATTGAATCATCCCAAAAAAATATTTAATATCTAAAAAACAAATATAAACTATTAAGTTTATCCATCTTAAACACCATTTGTGGTAAGAATCATATTTAAAAAAAACTTTTGAGTTATTCATGTTATAAAGAGAGAACAGGTTAAAATTTTTTTGTGTCAGCCACACTTCTTCCCAACTGATCAAAAAATTAAAAAAAAAAAGATCATTCAATTTTAAAGTGAATTTTACCAATTGATTCAAGACCCATCAAGAGAATATATTTAAATATTTTAAAAATGGGAAAGGTAAGGAGGTAAAAAAAAAATTTTCATTAAGATGTCACAAAAAGAAAGAGGGATCATCATTTCAACTTTAAAAATATAAATTTACATTCTTATTGTTTAAATAGATTCCAATATAAAATTATAGAAAATCTTTGAGAATTGAATAGTAAGATATATTTAATCATTTTAAAAGTTTTAAACATTCATCGTTCAAAATTCTTAATCTAACAATTGGACATATAATATGAAAATATGATGATTT